ACACACATTCACTGACAGACACAAACATACACACACATACACATTCACTGACTGACACACACACAATTTCCCCCAACACTCACAAATTGTTATTATTTTTTACATTTAATATAAATCCACCCAGCCTCCCTACCTTTGGGAGAGCTGGATTGATTTTTTTTACCTGGGGTCCAGTGGGGTTGCTGGGCTGGCTGTTGGCTAGGGTGTTGGGGCTGCTGGGCAGAAGGTAAGCGGTCGTGCAGGAAGGCAGGCGGGTGCGCTAAGCTAGTAGCAAAGGGAGGCGTGATCTCCCTACTCAGCTCCCTCGCGTGCCGCAGAGGGATGCTGGGAGCCGGAGTGACATCATATTCTGGCTCCTGGCATCACTGCGGAGCATGCAAGGGAGCAGAGCAGGGAGAGCTTACAGTTTAACGCTCCCTCGCCACTCACATATGACCAAAGTGGCTGCCTTCCCCGGTGAGGCCCAAAGATGGCTAGCTGGCCAGCGCTTGGGCCCCCATAAAATAAGGCTGACAAGATATTTGCCTGGGCATTTGGGGGCAGTGTTTTTTTCCACCCCTAGGAATGTGCCGCCCAAGGCAAATGCCTTGTCAGCCTTGTGGTAAATACATCACTGGCTATATATTTCCTTCATGATCAACAACATGCATTGTATTGTGGTTAAATTTCTTTCCTCTACACACAGTCAGGAGAAAACAAAGAGGTCCATTTAAGTGGTTTATTGCAGAAAATACACTTGTGACAGGAGAGTCAATACAGATTCTGAATAAGGCCATTCCTTTCTCAGAATTTATACAACTTCTTGGTTATATAATCTAACATACATCATGAACTGGATTAGATGAACTGAAAAAGGCAACATAACTATGGCAGAAACAGATATTTCATGCACATTTATAGATTTGTTCCAGGTCATAGCATCAAACCAGCAGTACAAGTTTAAGTAATGCAAGCAGGCAAAATTAAGAAATAAAGTCCACTTGAGTGCAAGACAGCTATGTTAAGAATGTTGGTATTTCAGATACCCGTTCATTTTTGGTTCCTCCCGAACTGCTAAAGGCTAAGTGATTATAGCTCGCAGTTCGGGTGTTGATTTGAACGTTCTCCAGAAGAAAATGCAGCATCCAAGTAAATTCCCCAAGCAATCAGACGTATACCCACACATCAGCCTAGACTAGATGAAGGGTACAACAGGAATTAATTTATTCAGGCCAACTGGCCGGTTCATATGCAAGTCCCCATGCAATGGGGTTTACCGTGATTTATTCCAGAGGCATTCCCCAATGGACCTGAGAGGGGACTATGGCAAAGTACACACTGTAATTACATTGGCTCTCCGGTCCAGAACACTCCCACACAAAACAGGATAATCCCTCCCCTGTGCCTGTAAGATAATTGAGTCAGGAACTGTACTAAACACAATTATCTCCAGGCACAGAAAACAAACATTTTAACAACAGTGTCTCCAAAACACATGGAAACCCCACAAAAGTCATATCTCCTGATAGCCCCGATCTGGGGGACCAACAGATCCAAAAATCACCCAGATCGGTTCAGGGGTTCGGGATTTCCATGGAAGTCATAACTTGACTGACCGCACACGAGGCTCCTGTCCAAAACAGTTCCAGAGAAACAAGGCTTGCGGTCAGTCGGTCTAGCTCGGTAATTTAAAAACTGAACAAATTACCAAACATAGTTAGCCCTGGAGTTTGTTCCCCTCATCCAGACAAACGATTCCACTGAACAGTGCCCTTCTAAGTTGTGTACAACCAACCGCAGGCGATGATGGAAGTCTAGTGGCGTTCGGGAGTTTCTGTGTCCGATTTTAGTTCCAGGAACTCGACGACCAAACATTGCTGCCTGTGTTCATGCAAAGATGGCCGCCACCTTATGGTCATTCAGACGAACAGCGGCCGCCCAGACAAACAATTAAAACACTGTGGTTAGAATCGTTACCAAGTGTTAATAGGAGTTAACAAGCTCCCGGGTGGTCTCTGGTTCGTGCAGCTGTTCGGTTCCCAAACCACATAATCCCAATTGCACCAACAGAGCCTTTTTAAAGTATATTAGCCAAGGTCTATTGCAGGGGCCATAGTCCTGAGGCAAGAGGCTGGCCAGCAGGCCCCTCCAAGAACCCGTGGCGAGGTTCAGTTCATCATAAGCTGGTATGGTAGAATGTTGAATTTTTATTTAATGTGTAATTAAAAATATCCATAAATGAATCACTAACGTAAATTGGAATAGCATTTGATATGGACTGGTAGGACTTAAATAAGAATGTGAAATAGCAGGATTGTGTATTTATCCTGCTAGTTGGTCCCAACATTACAAGGACTAATGAAAGTATTTGGAGAATTGGGCAGACAAGATTGGTCGAATGGTTCTTATCTGCCATTGCATTCTATGTTTCCATGTGTATGGTCAATAAAGTTAATTGCCTGTGACTTTGTAGGGATGGGAATTTGAATTTTCTGGTACAGGTCTTTAGAGAAGTGTGTTGGAACAGGAACAATTGTTATATAGTTGTTGTGGTAAATCTTGTATTTGCACTAAGGTTTTTTAACGGATTCAGAGAAAATAAAAAGGAGGCTGTGGTGGAAGTTCTTGAACAGATTGACTACTTACAATGGATATGCAACAGGGCACATCTTAACCACTACAGCAAGCTGTGTTGGTGTCACAAACCTAGAGGGGAACTTCAGCAAGATATAGGTCAACAACCCTAACAAAGGCAAAGCAGGAAGGATAGATGGGCATATTACAGGACTTAAAGTGGTTGGGCTTAATGCTTAGGCAGAAACAGGAAATAGTACCCAAAAACTACCTTAGCTTCAGATCAGTAACAAGCTTGAGATCTATAATGTAACCATGTCAGGGAATTTAGAATTTAGGGGGGAAAAAATAGATAAAAGCAAACAATGATCATCTGTTGAAGTGCGAGGAATGTGTCCAAATTTCAATAGTTATTATATATTATAAATTAACCTCATCACACATCCCACACTGTCAATCAGACAACATGTCATGTTACTTCCTGGCTTGTTTAGGTAAGTTGAGCTAAACCCATTTCCTTAGAACACCTGCCTTGCAAAAACTTCTCATTGAGCTGCATTGAGAAGTCTGTCATTGGACAGTCAAATAAAGTCTAGATGGGGTTAGAAGGGAAGGACTTGCAAACACTGCAGACAAGAGATCTGTAGCTTGTGTGAGCTGTCTTTAGATATATCCCCAATGAAAAAAAATTAAGTAAATGCATGCTCAAAAAGAGTAAGGGGCTAATATGATATATGGTGTTACAACAAGGAAAGTGAGGGGTTTAACCCCCATGACTTATTTGAAAAACAAAAGAAGAACAAAGCCTAGATAATATGAAAACATTATAGGTAATATAAAATTAAGAGTCAAACATAGGACTATTAACCAACTCAGAAATAACTACGGTAATTCATTTAAATTGGTGGTATATTAGATATTTAGCATCAGGAAGTGAGCAATATAATGAAACAGTGTAGCATGTGTACCAAAGTGATAATTGTATTGTTCCTTATTAAGGTTGGGCGGTGTTAAAACAAACTGATACACCATCGCCAGTACCGTATCCACCCCTTTGGTGAAGCTAATGTCATCTCTTTGCGGCACTCTTCCCTCTTGTGATCCTCGGTCGATTTATTGGATAACCCATCTATCAACCATTCATTCAAGCCACTGATTGGTGTGTGATCAGTCCAATTTCTTTGACCAATATTTAGCATATATTTAAATGCAAATATAAATGCATTATAAATAATTTGTATTATGCATAGCTATGTGAAATAAATTAGTATTTATTTATTTTGATTTTGATGTTCCATTTTGGCTGTGTGCGTTAAGTGGCTTTATTATATTTATCATGTCAAACAGTAAACAAGGTAAATTGACCATAATGAAAAACTACAACAATAAAATAAGTACAATAGTTTTTAAAGTAGCAAATATTAATTTAATCAACATCTGGTTTGTACTTCAGCACTGTATAGGCAGTTTTTTTTAAACACTAATAACAAGTGTAAGCTTTTGTTAATTACAGCAAGGAGGTTCATAATTATCAGATACTGAAAGAATGATGCATTATGTGCGTAAAACACTCTGGATCTTTTATGTGCTATACCGTTTTTGTTTTTTTAAGGAAGAACAGACCACATAAATTGGGGAATCATTAAATGCAGAATCCATTGTATATTTCAAATTAAGGTGAATTTACACATATTCAGGGTTATAATTCACGAAAGCATAAAACCTTATCAAACACATATTCACTTACCAGTAATGTAGTGTTCGTTTGAAGTTTATGATCTGTGTTACAAAATTAAATTTAAAATGTTTTCTTTTTTAATTTTTTAAAAGCTTTATGGAAGATCACCCCTGGATGCAATGGTTCACCCAAGACAATTTAAGAACCATTCTAAACATGTGAATGTTCTCTTTTACGGCACATTAACCTGGTGCTAAAATAATTTATGCATTGTCTGTATTTTGGTTTGTGTCATTTTTGTTTGTGTGCGTTTTTTTTTTTTTCTGGCAGAGGACCGATTAATGAGAATCTATAGTGGTGGTGCTGTTTCATTATGTTTCTGCTCCCTAGAGGAAAGAGCCTTTGCTTTGCAGTAGAAAATATAGAAAGGCATATTAACAAAACTTACAGTGGCTGGGATTAACACTTTAGGAATAAATAGGAAGTATCAGAAACTAAAATTAACACTACAGCTCAGAACAACTATATATGTTACAACCAGACAATGTGAAGATAGACTAGTGGAATAGCGGGCTCAAAGTCAGGAACAAGCCAGGTCTGTTACATGGGAAATTAGGATAAGGACAACTAGAAGTCAGGAATGTAGCCATGTTTGGTACACAAAGTCAGAAAAGCCTGGTTGGTAACAGGGAAATCTAGAACCACAACACCATGCACATACATGCTATCAGAAATCACGAAAGGGCACTGTACAAAGATTACGTCGCGCATGCGCCCAGGAACTCCCGAATGCCGCGCATGCACCCAGGAACTCCTGAATGCCGCGCATGCGCTCAGGAACTTCCCGAACGCCGCGCATGCGCCCAGGGAACTCACGCATGCCATACAGATGCCCTGGAACCCACGAACGCCGTTTGGAGATTACAGAACGCCGTGGGGGAACCCTGTGGACTCTGCAGGAAGCCAGAAAGATGAGAAGTAAGGCTTACTTACCGGCTGAATGCTCCTGGCGGTAAGTTCAAATCATTTCAACATCATACCTTTTTCTGGTGGGAAGGTCCATTTACTTGCTACCCCTGAGGTCATTGCAAGATATTGGAAAGGAAAAAAACCCCGGTCACTAAAGGGTTTTCTCCAGGGGGACACCTTTGCGCAGGGCCGTATACTGGAGACTTCCCAGGGGAGAGAGGGTGAACTCCCCAGGGGCTGGAGGAACTAATCCTCAGGTAAGCCATAAAAGAAAAAATGTTACAGTCCTAAAGACCGACATGTCCTAGAGGATAGGACAGGAAAAAAAGACTGGGGAAGGAGGGGTAGGAGGTGGTACTTATACGGCTTAATTATTATTCCTGTCCAATGAGGATAGGGAGGAGCTACCCAATGTTGTGCTGCCATGGATATGGCCAGGAAAGAGAGATACAATACTAAGGAAAAGCCGGGGTAGACATGGGAATGTCAAGACCAGCAAGTTGTAGAGAATTTTTTTTAAAAAGGAATAAAAAAGGCAACACACAAATACATACCTGAATTCACAAACTCAACACCCAAATTTGTTTGCGCGCTAGTCCTCTACAGAAAAACTGACACTTCCACATGCACAGGTACTCTGCAAAAATGTACCTCTGCTTTCATATACACACTGTAACAACATTCAAATACAGGTATTGTTACATGCACACTTTCGTACACCTGTACATAAACCCTGCTTTCATACACATCATGCTTCTACAGAAATATGTAACTTTATCTTCCCCGAGGCCAAACACATACATGTCACACCCACAAACTTGTGTCACTGACAAATAGCACTCTGCAATAAGCACATTAGCAGTGAGGTGAGATCATTATTGAGATCATTATTGGCAGCAAGTTGAGTACAGGTGAGATCATCTATATAATTTACTATTTGGTTTATTCAGACATTTGCATTTAAGTGATTGTGTTTTTAGTGAATTTAGATCTGAATTCCTTACCATAAGCCAGCAAGAGACACCATATTTTACCATGCTGCCAATGTAACATATGTTCTTCTCTGTGCCTGTGGGTGAGTCTGGGTGTGTAGTGTCTAGCTGGATGTCCCCATGTATGTTTTATTGGTCAGCTTATTTGATTGATTAATATGTTGACAGAAGATTGGTTTGTTTTACTGTGTCTGAGGGAGGTTCTGTGGATTTTATTATGAGACTATCTGTTTGTTGTAAAAGAATACCGACCAATCTTTCCTGTCTACCATCCGGGATGGTCCTAGTGTCTGGTCCCATCCTGCATTTTAACCCCTTAAGGACCAAACTTCTGGAATAAAAGGAAATCATGACATGTCACGCGTCTCTAAGGGGTTAAAATCTGTTGGCAGATTGCAAAATAAATACAGCATATTAATGAGGCATAATGCATTACAGTTATATTGGTGCCCAGAGTGTTACTTTAAGCAATACCAACTTATGTTATTAATGCTACCAATGGATAATAGAGAAAGAATATGTTATGTAGCTGCTGTTATTTTCAATTGCGAAGAAATAATAATTGTAGGTCTGCATCTAATAAATTTGTCAGACTAGTTTGGGATAATATGCATGTTTCAGACATATTTTAAAGGTGCTGTGATACCATTCACTTGTGTTTAATTAGTAGCCTGATTTTGGTGATTTTTCCAAATTTACTTATTGATTTCCTTTCCTGAATTTACACACAATGAGATAGATTTCTAAAAGAGAACAGTCAACAGAGAAATCATTGGGATATTCTTCATGATTAACTGATTTCCACGCATTTAGAGGTTGTTTTTTCCCCATTGTTGACAAGTTTATAAATCTCCCCCACTAATTTAAATTTGCAATCTAACAATCAAAATTGTATGGCAAAAAACAAAACAAAGAAAAGATGGGGTCTGTGGGTGGCAGCTGGTATAAGGAGTTAACGACTCGTTAAGACAAAAGAAAAACAGCAGTTGCCTCTGATTAATTCAGAACATTTTTTGTTTTTCTTATTCTGAAATAAACATTATGATGTATCTATTGTAATCAGCTTTCTTATTGCTGCTATTATATTTTGCTCCGCTGCGATTCCTTTGATTAGAATAATGAAATGTTATTACAGCTATGCGCTGGGTTTCTTTGTACTTCTTAATGAAAAGCATTATTAATTATAGATATTTGTTCTTTTGGAAAATGGTGGCTTTGACTTTTTTTGTCCATGTGGAACTTTATTGCAGCTTTACATGTTCTCATCTTTAATATTTTAACTGTATACTGAAACTTTGTACGTACCTTGACATATGTCTGTTTGCTAAGTTCTCCCGGGCCTGGCAAAAAAAAAATCTCAGCACTGTTGAGTGTTGTTATCAATAAGCAGACAAAGACACAGACATGATACTTTTGAAATTTAGTTATTTGTGAATTTGTTTTATTTCCCACATGCATTTACAGATAACCAAATCTTCTGTAATTCCAACTCCCAAGTCAGTTTCTTAAATCAATGAAATTGTGTTGGTTTAGGTGACTGGTATACTGGATTTTTTGTATTTCATTTTCAGTTTATAAGTGTTTTTTTTTCTTGCCTTCTATTATGTAACTTTATTCTGGTTTCTGTGACACTCTCTGTCGATGCCCATTAATTATTATTGGTAGACAAGGAGCCTTCTGAATGATCCCCTCTTTCCACTGATAAGTTTGACTTCATAGTGCTGCTGTCAGTATGGCAGCAGGCACACCATAGATAATTAAAGCAGAATGTGACATTGTTTCTCCAATCTCACCCAGGTACAATACAAGCAATACTACATAGCATAACATGTTTGATCTGGTTCCCAATGATGACTGATGTTACCACAACAAGGTATATGCCTTGCTAGGGGATGGGGTGGGGACAATCTCTATGACTGAGGCAAATGTGAGTTATTATAAATGGTAGATGTCTAAACATACCTGGGTAGGATTATGAGCAGTAGCCGGCATAGTTACATAGGCTGAAAAGAGACTTGTGTCCATGAAGTTCAGCCTTCCTCACATATGTTTTGCTGTTGATCCAAAAGAAGGCAAAAAAAACACTAAGTTTGTGTAGTGGATGTAGTGTTTGTGTGTATTAGATGCAGTGTGTATAGTGCATGCAGAGTGTGTGTTTGTGTAGTGGACATAGTGTGGGTGTATAGTGAATGCAGAATGTGTGTGTGTTTGTGTAGTGGATGTAGTGTGTGTTTGTGTAGTGAATGCAGAGTGTGTCTGTGTAGTGAAGGCAGAGTGTGTATAATGAAGACATAGTGTGTGTTTGTGTAGTGGATGTAGTGTGTGTATAGTACATACAGAATGTGTATAGTGAAGGCTGTGTGTATTAAATGCAGTGTGTATAGTGAACGTGGAGTGTGTGTTTGTGTAGTGGATATAGTGTGTATATAATGAGTGCAGAGTGTGTGTTTGAGCCAGCCACTGGACTCTGCAGAGGGGGCCCGCAGCACACTCTCACTTCCCTTCCCAGCAACTACTGTCTCTAACTCTCGCATGCCACTCTGAGCGTTGCCATGGTAATCCGTGGCAACGCTCTGATGGCCATGGGGCCCACGAGATTTAGTCAGGAGTTGCAGGGGAGCTGCTGGGATGGAAAGTGAGAGTGTGCTGCGGGCCCCCGGCTTCCTGTTTGTTGGAGAGGGGGCCCGCAGCACACGCTCACATCCAGGGCTGGTGCAAGGAATTCTGCCACCCTAGGCAAGGATCCATTTTGTCACCCTCTCATGAGATCTTTCCACAAGTTCTTTCACTAAACTCCAAATTGAAACATTTCCCTGATTTCTTTTAACCCCTTCCCGACCGCGGACGTCTGACAAAAAATGGTGGTTAATGACCTTGGACGTATTTGGTACGTCCGTGGCAAATAGGAGCTCTGGACTTACCTGGACTGGTGATCCGCGGCGATCACGGTCGGGCGGGGGGACTGACCAAGACCCCAGCAGTCCCCCTGCAGCAGCTCCAGGGCCATGTAATCACCATGATCACATGGCTGCAATAGGAGTCTATGGAGCTGCCAGCAGGGGGACTGTCTGTGCTGACACCTAAAAAGTAAAAAAAAAAACTAAATAAAATAAATAAATTATACATATAGTATATATGTATAATATATTAAAAAATAATTAAAGCATTTTATAATATATTATACATATATAATGCATATATATGATTTTATTATAAGTGTACTTTGAGATATATACACATTTGTGGTCGGAAACCGTAGCCAATCATGAACAAATATTAATATACAATAAGCCGGGGTGCCAGAACCGACGAGTGGTTAGGTCTGTAATAAAGAGGGCCCACCTGAAGAGTGAGGCGGGAGGACAACGCTGGTACTCGAGTACAGGTAAGGAGAGGAGGTATGGGTTTAAATAGGCCAGACAACTCCTCCCACAACTACAGGCTAATGCCTTTAAATTTGCGGTCGGAAACCATAGCCGATCGTGAATAAGTATCATAATACTATAAGTTGGTAGTGGTGTGCCGGAACCGAGTGGTTAGGCCTGATATTCTCTTGAACAAATGGCTTTATCTATAACAGCTAGGAAAGCATTATGGTTCTGCTTCTGGGATGATAACTCATCCTCCAAGTCTGCCCTCTACATCATTCTATTTGAAGGGGAGCTGCTATGTAGGAAAGCTTTGGATGAATCCATTAAAAAGGCAGCTGAGAGCTGCAAGGTATTTGTACCTCAGGACTGAAGATCCAAGAATACTTGCTCCTCAGACCGGAGAACCTCCAGTGACCAGCATTTCTGAGAGACATGGAGTTACTGACCCTGCAGGGTATACTCCAGACGTAACTTGTGGCAGTTGGTAATCTGCCTTTCAAGGTTCTAACAGAGCTATGAATCAGAACATTTTGCTCTTCAACAATGAACTTGTGTCTCTCCTCCAGACCTAGGAGCCTTATTTTTTCTGATCAAATATGCCTGGGCTCGTCACATTCTGGCGACTTGGGTGGTATCTATAGTCCAG